TAGTAAATATTGTGGGTACGACGGACCGTTGCTGGAAAGGCAGTTACGTGATCGTTTTGCCACGGGCTTAAACCACGCAGAACTTCAAATCGACCTTAAGCAAAAATGGCCGGATCTCCAAGAAGTATACGAGGGCAAAACGACAGAGGTAACGTTTGCACAAATCTTCGCGATAGCACGGTCTCAAGAACTTGCGGAACACGATGATGCCACACCTACCACGAGTGTTCATAAGGTCAACTACATACCTACCACGAGTGCTCATAAGGCCAACTATACATCTACGAGAGTTCATAAGGACAACTATGAGCAAAAAGGAACTCGCAGTGCAGGCCGGTTGCTGCAGCCCAATCAATGCAAGAGATGCGGTAAACGAGTCAAACACGACATACAACGATGTGCAGCCAGGAACCATACTTGTGAAGCATGCAATCAAGAGGGACACTTTGAGAGCTGTTGCATAAAATCCGGAAGAGCATACGTAAGTTTTAAAAAGCCGTACAATGTTAAACTTAACAAAATTAACGACATTAAGCATCGTCTGGACTCATCGTCATTAGATAGCGACAGCGACTCTGATGAAGAGAGTGGGCCAGCTGTCTACCAAATGCAAAATAGATTACACAAGAGCAAAAGGGTCAATGTATACATAAATGGGCGACCTTGCACAATGGACTGAGACCCAGGTTCAGTATATTCAATCATAAGTGTTAGTTTCTGGGAAAAAATTGGAGCTACACAACTGAGTAAGGCACCAACACTCCGTGCTTATGGCAATACTAAGTTGAAACCCAAGGGTCTGACAGATGTGACAGTACAAATTGATAGCGAAAAGAAGCTCTTACCTGTAGTTCTTATGGAAAACGCTACTCCGATGCTTTTTGGCTGAATTGGAACGAAAATTTCAACATGAGATTCCCAGACCAAGTATACTCAGTACAATTCAAACTCAAGACATTAAAAAGACGTTTTAGCTGTACATCCAACACTCTTCGACGACAAACTGGGGAAAGTTAAAAATTATTTGGTCAACATACACATCGTCCCAGTGAAGTGGCGCAGACTAAGGTGCGCTGATCCTGAGACGCCCCCATATGGGCGTAGGAGGGTACCGGTGGTTTTTAGTGGGTAGGACCGGCGTTGTTCCGCGCCGGGGAGTCCCACACACGCCGCGCGCCCAGCCAGCGCGCGGTACGGTGCGTAAATGCATTTTCCATCGTCAACAAAAAAAAAAAAATGGTCAACATACACATAAAGCCCGGGGCTGAACCTAAACATTTTTACCCACGCCCCATCAAGTTCTCCATGAAACGCAACATAGAGGTCGAACTAGAACGCCTAGTTAATGATAATATCATTTCAAAGGTAGACCCGAACATTACGCCGATAGCGTGGGCAACACCAACCGTCAATGTAGTCAAGCCGAATGGTCAAATCAGAATTTGTGGAGATTTTCGTACCACCATAAACCCAGTATTAATGACACATGCGCACCCTGTACCCTTATTTGACCAACTGCGCCAAAACCTTTCAAATGGTAGTAAGTTTTCAAAAATCGATTTGAAAGACGCATACCTTTAATTTGAAGTGGCTCCGGAGTCCAGGAGGTATCTCACAATCGCAACGCACAAGGGATATTATCAATATAACAGAATGCCTTTTGGTATCTCAACAGCCCCATCTATATTTCAACACTATTTGGACAAACTCTTGGAGGGAATACCAAACGTAGCAGTCTACTTTGATGACATCGCTATAACTGGTCGAAATGATAACGAACACCTACAGACCCTTGCATTGGTCTTTGACAAACTGGAACAAGCGGGACTTAAGGTAAATCTCAATAAGTGCACATTTTTTCAAACAGAAATTGAATATCTAGGCCATACGATAGACAAGAACGGAATACGTCCCACAAAACGAAAACTCGAGGCAATACTAAAAGCGTCACCGCCAACGAACACCAAAGAACTCAGATCTTTCCTCGGATTCATCAACTTTTACCAGAGATTTATTCCACATTTACACTCTATTTGCGCTAATTTACACACGCTTACAGGCAGCAGACAGCGATGGCGTTAGACTGAAGAAGAACAAAAAGCATTTGATAGGACCAAAGCCGCAATATCAAACGCTCAACCTCTAGTAGCCTTCAGCGACAAGCGGCCATTATACCTTGCTTGTGACGCATCAGAAAAAGGAATCGGGGCTGTGTTATATCACAAAAACAGGGATTTAATACAACCCATCGCATTTGCATCAAGGAAACTAAGGGCGCCAGAAAGGAAGTACTCTGTCATTGATAGAGAAGCGCTAGCAATCTTTTTTAGTATCAAAAAATTCGATCAGTATCTTAGGAACATAAAATTTACGCTAGTTATAGATCACAAACCTCTGATTCACCTACTAGGAACGCAACGAAACCTGCCAAAACTCGTCAATAACCGTCTAGTAAGGTGGGCACTGCTTATCGGGAGCTACCAATATGACATCACGTATACAAGAGGTGGCAATAACTTTCTGGCTGATTTCCTGTCACGCATGCCGAGCTCCGAGGAGCAACCTTCGAAAGCTGAACAGAACGTACATCGTATCGAAGCTCAACAAAACACCGTCAAAATTATTGACCTTGCCTTAACGGAGGAAACGATTCGCACGGAAACAAAGAAGGACAATGTATTAAAACCAGTCTTACAGCATATTAAGGATGGGTGGAGAGAACAAACGAATTCCAATGACCTTAAGCCTTTCTTACGAAAACACAGTGAGCTGTCAGAAGAAAGTCGGATCATCATGTTCTTCTTCTTTGCCGATTCACTCTTGACAGAGCGGTCGTGGTCATCAGGTAGCGGTCAGGTTCCGGGCAGCCATAATCCTCTTCACGATGCGACGCCATCCTTCCCTGTCGGTTGTGCTACGTGTGCACTCGTGCAAGAGGCCGCCTACTGCCGATTTGATCTGGTCGGTCCAGCGCATGGGCGACCTGCCACGTGCCCTCGTGCCTTCGACCTTCCCCTGTACTACAAGACGCTCTATGGACGTGTTGTCCTGTCGTGAAACGTGCCCAAAGAACTGTAGTATTCGAGTCTGGACTACGTTTGTTAGACGCTGTTTGACACTGAGTTCTTGGAGAATAGATGCATTGGTGCGAAACTCTGTCCACTTCACTCCAAGCATCTTCCTCCAGCACCACATCTCTAGTGCATCTATTTTCTTTTTCTCAATATCTCTCAGCGTCCACGTCTCGGCAGCGTACAGAAAAATGGGGAATATCAACACCCGGACAAGTCTCGTTTTTGTGGCTTTGGTAAGATTGCGATTCTTCCAGACTTTTTTCAGCTTATCCATAGCAGACCTAGTAATAGCCATTCGTCGCTTAATTTCGTCCACGCAGCCCCCCTGGTTTGAGATCAGCGCTCCTAGGTAGACGTATGACTGTACGACATCACAATTCGCAATTTGGGTGACTTCGGGCGAGTTGTCGTTGGCACGGTCGATGATCATCATCTTCGTCTTACATCTGTTTATTCTCAAACCAAAAGTCATGCTGACATGTTCCAGCTTGGAAAGCAACTGCTCCATGCGGCCGATACTAGTTGCGAATAGCGTAGTGTCATCCGCATAGCGTAAATTTGAAATCTTTACACCTCCTACTGATACACCGTCCGTCCAATCTTCGAGGGTAATCCGCATTATTAGTTCTGTGTAAATGTTGAACAGGAGTGGCGAGATTATACATCCTTGACGAACGCCTATACTGTAGATCATCATCATCATCATGTGGCAAGCCCGAATTGTTATACCAGGGTCCCTACATAGGGAAGTATTAAAAGTTTTTCACAGAGGCCATCCAGGAACGTCGGCAATGAAGGCCCTTGCGAGATTTCACGTATGGTGGCCGTCAATCGATGAAGAGATCGAGGCATACGTAAAGCGTTGCCGCAAATGCCAAGAGAACAGACCCAACAACCCGGAACTGCCAGTGTATTCGTGGTCTGTACCAGATAGAGTCTGGGAAAGAATACATCTGGGTTTTGCTGGACCGTTTGAGGGTAAATTTTGGCTCGTGTTAGCGGACGCTCTGTCAAAGTGGATTGAAGTAAAGCCAATGACGAGAACAACAACAGCACATTTACGTCAAGAATTGGACGATATTTTTACAATTTTCGGACTGCCACAGTTTATTATGTCTGATAATGGGCCACAGTTTATTTCGCAACAGTTTCAAAGTTTTTGTAAGGAACGAGGCATCATTCACATGCGATCCTCCCCGTACCATCCTCGTACGAACGGATTAGCCGAGAAATTAGTGCGTACGTTCAAAAGCAGAATGTCGTCGAGCACTAATGAGTCTGATGGTTTAAGGGCTCGGTTAAACAAGTTTTTGCTGTCTTATCGCACGACCCCACATTCAACAACCGGGAAAACACCGGCACAACTGATGTTTGGTCGACAGATTCACACCGTTTTGGATAACATTCGTCCTAGTAGTAATCGAGATCTACAGTATAGGCAAATTAAAGCGAACATTGAAGCCGATGGGAAGAACAAAATATTTGATGTTGGAGAGACGGTTTATTGTCGTAACAGAGATAAACCAGGGTGGAAACCGGCATCTGTTGTGCGCCGGACTGGCCGATATTCATATATTGTTAACACTGACGACGGTACACAGCATCGTTATCACGCTGACCAGATAAGATCGCGTTTGGCCACATTGGATAACGCGAATGCAGAGACTGGAGACAATCAAGAGCATACAGAGAGCATATCCTCACCGGCTCTTGTTTTGACACCGCCGTCAGAGATTGATGCACAGCTGGACGTGACACAAACCGCAGCATCAGTACCAATCCCTAATAATTCAATCACGCCCACTGCTGCACGGATGACACCCAATACACCGATTCGTCCAGGTACCCCACTGCGTCGCAGTACTAGGATGAGATGCGCGCCACGGCGGCTGATTGCAGAAATGTCTTAAAGAAGAACGGGCGGGACGAATGTTGTAGACTCCTTTCGTAAACCATAGTGTATGCCTGTATTAGTTAACCTTGAGTGATGTTGTCATTTGTCAAATTAATTAAATTATATTTTCCAACTGAAAAGCATGTTATTTTGTATTATTTAAATATCTACCTATGTTCTAATTTAAAACTATTTTGTAACCCACAATGTATCCGACTGAAAAACTCTGTATCCAGGTAGGGTTACCATATCTCAGCATTTGTCCTGAGATTTCAGGATTTTTGGACTCTTCTCAGGATTGCGGCTGGATTTTGCAAATCTCATGAAATCTCAGGATTTTTTGAATTTCCAATAAAACACAGCTTACGTTTTAAAGATCTCTTTAGCAAAAAGTTAAACAAACTAAAAATAATCTTCTTTTGGTAATAATTGCACAATTAAAATCAGTACTTTATTATCCAAGTCGGTACTTAATCAGTTTTATCATACTTAATATCTGAAGATACATTTTTAAGTAAGGTTTTTTCTTTAATTATGGATTCATATAATGCCCCACATGTTAAGCTCTTCAAATTATATTGATTTAAAAATATAAGCAGAGTATAAACGATAATATTACGACTTTATTAAATTGTAAAAATTCTCAAACTGTAAAAAATCTTAGGATTTTTCAATGGAAATCAAGCCTTTTCTCCGGACTTTTGCTTTTATCATCTGGTAACCCTATATCCAGTTCATGAATTAGACATGGGCGTTTTTGGTTTTGAACGCAAACGGATATTTATCGGATTTCAGATTTCAAAATCGATTTTAAAATCCGTTTTTAGATATCCGATTTTAGATGTGCTGAACTTAGCCAATTCACTAGTTTGTGTTATGATTTGGTTTTATTAGCTTACGACAATCACAAACAATTAATTGTAGGAAGCAAGGATACTCGTAGATTTTCGCGATTTTCCTTCATGCTTTAAATCTAGGCTTAGGACTAGCAGAAAAGTTATGTTTACGGTTAAGAGTAAAACTTTTGCGGCGCATTTAAAAATCGGCTTTTATACAATGATTTCTTTTTACATATTTTGTAGTATTTTTTTTTGTTATTCTGTTTGTTTTTATTATTTTTCAAACCATTTACAAAATCAAACCTAATTACTTCAGGTTAGCGTCCAAAAATGTAAGTTGCTCGACTTTTGATGTTTTTAGACGACATATCTTTTCAGTGATAAATAATCCCGCCTCAGAGAACAGCAATAGATTTCCGTAAACAGCAAATCGAAATCGGACTTCCGAGCACGAAATCTGACTTCCGAAAACGAAATCACGAATTTCGAATCCGATTTACATTTGGATACTTGTGGTATTTGGTTTTGGTTCGGTTAGATTTCTGAAATCGGATTTTCTTGTTGAGAAATCGTTCGATATCGATTTGTATTTGAAATCGGATTTTGGATTCGTTTTGATATATCGGACGCATGCCTATCATGAATAAATTAAAAAAAAATATGTCTTGTTCTGTGGTTTTATTTTCCTCGCGTCAGCAGTCAGGCTTTTGTTTGCATTTTTTTAGAATAATTTATTTTAATTCAAGCAACCAAAGTAAGATCTACAATGCTTTTCACGCAAGCTTAGAATAATAACGCCGCTAGACTTGATAAATAATCACATGTTTTACAAGGTCGTGCATTAAAGGCTAGGCTATCCTTTATTATTGTGAAGTAAGTCTGCTCATTATTCCATACATTAAACACAGATCGTACACAATTTTAAAGTAATCAATTAATATGAGCTAAAATGACTTTAATCAAGGTATTTTACACGTTTACTCATACGTGCCTTATATTTTTTTCAGATGTTTTGAGCTACAAGGTTAGATTTCTTCAAAAATGATAATAAAATTTGGCTCTATTAACAATAAACTAGTCAAAAGACTTCTAGAGCATGTATTTTACTTGACCATTGTATTCATGCTCATACCAGGATTCTTATACTTTGAAATTTGTGTTGTTATACCATCTGTTGTTCCACAGTGGACAGTGCCTCATTATATACATTTATGCTCTGCTGTATTTTTACTGTTAAATATTGTGGGCAACATGATATATGGTATGTTCACAGATACAAGTATTAAGGGGCATGTTCTTTATAAGTACAACCAAAAAAACTGGACATTGTGTACAATTTGTGAATGCTTGAGGCCTCACCGTGCATGGCACTGTGATATTTGTAATACCTGCATACTGAAAAGAGATCACCACTGTACATTTTTTGCATGTTGCGTTGGTTATTACAATCATAGGTATTTCATGTTATTCACAATGTATATTTTTATAGCAATGGTTTACTCCTTCTATTTTAATGTTAAGTTTGTAGCACAATTTTTGACATGGAATCATGGTCTAATTATTGCTAAGTTTGTTTTGCCAATTGTAAGTGTTGTAATTGACTCTGGAAGTGAAAGTCTATATGTGTTCCTAGTTGTGATAAATATTATTGTAGGTTTGTTTACTGGTTTTCTATTTTTCTATCATTTCAATAATATTTTGAAAGGTAAAATAGTACATGAAACGAAACATAGTATTAAAGATTCCCATTATGATAAAGGCTGGAGATCAAATTTAATAGAAGTTTTTGGCAGTAAATGGTACTTGACATGGTTTTTACCATTTATTCATAGTCCTTTGCCTGGTAATGGTATAGAATGGGATATACCTGATAATAAACACAAATAGTAATATTTACAATTAAGTTATTATCAGAGTGCCTTTACAGTACATATTTTTTATATAGATACACATTGTGTACTTTATAGATTGTTAGTGGACAACATTTTATGTATTTCAAAATTGACACTTGTACTAATAAATATTCTTATATCCTTATTATTAATTCTCTTCTTGGTTTGTTTGTTCGTTCCTATGCCTAGCATACTCACCATTGAATTCTAGTAGTGAATGCCAAAAATGATTATCAGATAGTGATGAATAAAGACTGGATTAATATGCAACATAAAAATCCCAAAGTATGCACTTTTGTGCTTTTATATGCAAAAGTACTAGCTAAAATATGCACAAAAGTCTATGAAGCAACCAAAACACGCAATATTAAATATATCTTAATTTTAAATGCATTATTCATTTCGTATCGACTATCGCTACATCCAAGTCATGTTTGTACGAAGAACGCAACCATGACAATACATACAAGACCAGACTACGAGACCTATGTAACTACAGTGAAGAGTGCGACAGGGGGATGTAATATCCATGACGCTGTTTACTGCTGTATTGGAAAACGTCTTAAAGCTTCTGGATTGGAGCAAATTTGGCATCAATGTTAATAACTGGTACGTTTTCTAACCTTTGATTTGTATGCCAATGATATAGTCGTTATGGCAGACACTGTAAGATCTCAATACAATGCTTAACAACCACAGCAGACCCTCTTAACAGGAGGGCCTTAAAATGAACATAAGTAGGACGAAAATCATATCTAACGCTCATGTATCCTCACGGCTCCATTCTGTAATCACTAAGAACTGCATTCTAAATTATCGACAAGACGACTCGATATCTAGAAGAGATAGTCCACTTGGAAAAACAGGTATCACTGAATCGAAGAACTTGGTTTGTCCCAAGACATGGATCTTGGTGACTCTGAGGTGTTTATATAGTTCCGATGGCTTCTTTTATTTCATCCCAAAACTATTCTGATCTCTAAATAGAGTTGAGGGATCAGCTTCATAGGCTAGTCCAAGCCATAACTTCAATGTCTATATGATATTTGCATCCAATTTTACCAAGAGGGTTTTACAGGGATTTTACAAGGAAAGGCCAAGTCACGCGTGATGTAAGATAGTTGTTGTATATGAAAATTTAATTTTTGGCTTAATTGTTGCTGATCTACCTTGTTTCAGCAATTTAGAAAGTTATCGACATAAGCTTGTCTATAACAATATTTATAATTATATTAAATGTTATTGGTGACAAGCAGCAGGCCTGAAACAGCTCTACATTATTATGCAATGGTTTTGTGTTCACAAATTGTAATTGTGAGGAAATTTATCCACTTCAAGCCGAAGCATTAACTGCTAGATGTTTAAATCTAAAGGAAATACTAGAAAAAAGGTCAGTGCATTCGCCCGGATAGCGAAGGGTGCAGGTTAGAGTCCCGTGTCGAGTCTTCTGCCTGGACCGCGTGGATTTTTTTATAGTAAAATGTTCTTTAGATTTAAACATCTAGCAGTTAATGCTTAAAAAAATATATATTTAACTAAATAATATAATTTAAATAATAAAAAAATTTTTTTTTTACTATTTTATTAGTAAATTCCGATAAACAATACACAATACGCTCCCTTTATTTCAATTTAGTTCAATGAAATAAATATATTGAGATCATAGCATTTTTTTTCCATATAGACATTTAGTGTTTTTCAATGAGGAAAATTGACTTCTAACTCACCATGTATTCCAAGTTTTACTGAACAATATGCATTTGAAAGATGTTTGTAAGTGTGATTTTCAAGGATTTTTTATAAAATAATTTCTTTTAAAAAATGCACTTCACAAATAATTACCTTTATATATAAAATTGTATAAACTTATTTACATTGAAAACATTCGAAAATTAAATTGGAAAAGATAAGTGGTATAAAGTAAACATAAAATTATTTTTGAATAATCCTCGTTAAACTAAGATAAAGCGAAAAAAATATTATTCTAAAAAGACCCAATTTAAACATATTAGGTATGGAGTTATAAAACGAAATAATATTACTTAATTACAAATACGATGCATGTTGTTTCTCTATAATTTCGTATAATTAAACTACCATTTTACATTATGCAGCTGTAAATATAGGAAGTCTTTTAATTAAATAGGTTATTTTAATCTAATTTATTCATAGTCATATTATATTAACATATACTTACAGTTATATACATTTACTTACTATTATAATAGGGATAATGACATTGTTTTCCTTCTATCAGGTAGATTATCAAAAAGTATTGGACACTTCACATAATCAAAACATTACGTCACATGATGTCACGTCTTGCTACAATTTTTACTTAGAAGTGACGTCACGAGCCTTATTTTTTAGTGGATTGACAAAAGAAAAAAATAAGTGTTCATTTTTTTTGATAATCTAAACTGACGAGGCTAAATAGAATTTCGTTTGCTTTACTCCTTCGTCATCCCTATTGTCAATATTCGGTTATTGTCTGTCCGGAATGTTCGTGTTTGGCAATATTTGCGATAAGTATCTGCTACGGATTCTATCGGATTGCGCTTGAGCGATGTCACGTTGGGGCGGAGTTTCCACAATGTCGGGTCTCCTTGAGTCTGTTTCCTCGTGATTGTCACTCTCTTCATTTTCCAACAAATTCGCAGTCTCCTCGTTGCTACTGCTGGGATAACTGCAATTAAACAGGTATATTTTTGATTGTCTTTTTGACATCTTTCCTCTCGCTTTCGTGCATTTTGTGGGAGTGTTTACGTAAAGTGGGACGGAAGTGTGTGTAACAGGAAGTTTGGAAAGCGCGCGCTATTTGATTTGATTTTAGAACATAATGTTAAGTAGTAGGTTTTATTTCCTTTTTTAATAATATAAGGTGAGATTTCAAATGTTACACATCATACTCGCCTACTGTAAGACTCGCTCGTATTTTTATACTTAAAAAAATATTCCCAATCAGAAAAACATTACGGTACCCTTAGTACGAGTTAGCTCACGAAAACAATCATAGTTTTCGTAATTGTAAATTATGTTTCTATTTCCATTTTGGTAAAAAGTAACCAAATGTACTTAAAATTTAAGAAGACGCAAATAATTTAATGTCAGAATTTAAACACTGTTTGTTTGTGTTCAAACGTAAACAATAAAAACGACGAGTGCGAGCTCACGAAAACTATCATAGTTTTCGTAATAGGCTAGTTGACTCTTTTTGGAAAAAGGTTTTAAATGGTTAATAAATGTTCTATTAGACAGAAAAAAAATATATTGTAGTTTTTTGAGACCTAGAAAGCTACAAATCTTTAATTTTAAAATAGACTTTTCATGGACATACTAAAACGCTGTCGGCCATTTTAGTCTATAGATTATCTATATTATGACTTCAACCGGTAGTAAACAAAAACTCGAAAGCACGTAGAAAATATCCTATCTGAGTTTATAATAAAAAAAAACATAGTAATTATCATTATTGTATTGTACGAGAATGTAAAAACACATCCTTGAAGACTCTAGGAGAGTTGTGGATTAAAGTGCCGAAAGAAATTATTAACCTACGCAATACCTGGTTAGAACTTGCTTAAAGGGATCCTGCAACTTTATCGATTCATAGTAATATTTATTTTTGCGAAGATCACTGTGATGTAAGTACTCATTGAATAATATTTTAAGTCTTTTCATTTATTATCAGTTTTAATAATACAAGTTTTAAGGTTATGTATGAATGTCATTTAGTTGTTTACTACCAAAGAGACGTCACAATCATGGCGGATGTGGCGAACAGCGTTTTTAGTAGTATTGACTAAAAAATATTTTTTAAAATTAAATTTCTACAGCAATCTTCTGCTTTTATGAAGTGAAATCGATATATTTAGGTTCCTTAGACCAAATACTTTAAGAAATAAACATGTATTTAATACAATTCGACATGAGTCAACTAGCCTATTGTAAAACTCGTACTAAGGGTACGGGTCTCGTCGTTTCGCCTCTGCGCCAATGTGGGTTACGTCTTACACACTTAATATATTTTTAATTGTGATTTCCCCATATCTTTAATCAATCAAGTTCAACAAATTCGTTTTACGATACGTGATAACTGCAATTTTGTTTGTTTTTTTGTTCCAATGATTTAATGGCACAAATTCTTTTTACTTGTGGACAAAAAAAAATCAGCACACACTTATTATTATTGTTAATTATAAGTAAATATAAACTGTTCAAGAATTACTTGGATTTCAATGTTAAAACAAAAACTATTTTTCTATGTCTCCTAATATTACTAATAGGTACTTATAAAATAAACTTAATATAAAACTGAATTCACACAATTCAACAAAAACTCCAAGAGCAGGCATAGGCATGCGCAAAAGATTTTAACTCTGGGACCCTAGTGGACTGAATTATATAATCGCAAGGTGAATTAGAAAAAGTTTTCATACCAATTAAGATAGAAAGTATCAAAAGAGGTCATTAGTGTAAAACATCATTCATACCTAAAGAAAGAATTGCTTTATGGCTACAAATTTTAAGATACGGTACGCACCCAGATGGATGCAACACTTATTTATTAAATATTTACCCTAAGAAAGACCCTGCCGTGGGGTGCCGGCATAGAATATTGCACCTCCCCATCTCTTCCCGTGGGTGTCGTAAAAGGCGACTAAGGGATCGCCAGGAGAACGGGCAGCAGCGTTCTCCTGAGTAACATTACATCTACTGCGATCGCCAACCCGCCTGCCAAGCGTGGTGATTATGGCAATAACCCCCCAAATGAAAAAAGGCATAAACACAACGGCCCCGAGTCACGGCGACTCCGCTATTCCGGCTCACGGTGGCGGGCCTGGTAACGGCGGGGTACGGGGTGCTAAGAATCTCCGGTCGAGATCCGGCCACCAAATAAAACAGACTCTGGCCCTGGTAACACACAACATTCGCACGCTCAGGACTGACGAGAGGATTGCCGAGCTGGAAGAGGAATTGAGCAAGATTCGGTGGGACATTGTAGGGTTGTCAGAAGTCCGAAGACAGGGGGAGGACACGATAACCCTCCGGTCTGGAAACTTGCTCTATCACCGGGAAGGCGACGACTTGTCGCAGGGCGGTGTCGGGTTTATCGTTCGTAAGTCTCTCGCAGCCAACGTGGAGAAGATTGAGAGTGTGTCGAGTCGGGTAGCGTGCCTGATACTCAGAATAACCAAACGGTATTCGCTGAAGGTCATCCAGGTCTACGCGCCGACCTCGACGCACCCCGACGATGAGGTGGAGACTCTCTACGAGGATATCTCGAAAGCCATCCGTTTATTCAAAACTCACTTCACTGTGGTTATGGGAGACTTTAACGCGAAACTAGGCAAAAGGAAAAGCGGTGAGTTGAGAGTAGGGCAATTCGGATTCGGCCAGAGAAACCAGAGAGGGCAGAAGTTGGCTGATTTTTTGGAGAGAGAAAATCTCTATATGATGAATTCCTTCTTCAAAAAGTCGCAACAAAGGAAATGGACCTGGATAAGCCCTAATGGTTCGACACGGAACGAGATAGACTTTATCTTGTCAGACAAACGGCAAATATTCAATGATGTCTCAGTGATCAACAGGGTGAAAACCGGGAGCGATCACCGAATGTTACGAGGCACATTGAATATTCGTGTCAAAGCCGCGGTCCCGACTGATGAAGTCTACTCTACGTCCCACACCTGCCGAGTACGAAAATCCCGAGAGCTTTCGACTCGAACTCCAAAATCGCTTCCAATGCCTAGACGAGTGCGAAACGGCGAACGACTCTACAATACCAAGCGTATTAAAGAGGCGATAGAGCGGAACCAAGGCTCCAAAGTGTTCGCAAAAGATCTGTCTGCTGGGCAGACTCAGTTGACCAGACTGAAGACCGACAACGGCACTGTCATTTCTTCCAAAGATGAGATCTTGAGCGAGGTCGAGCTGTTCTATGGACAGTTGTATAAAACATCCCAAACTCCTGTTGTCGGCTTGGTCCAAGATCCACGATCCAAGCTAACCCGACACTATACCGAGGACATCCCGGATGTCAGCCTGTACGAGATCAGAATGGCTCTCAAGCAGCTTAAAAACAGTAAAGCACCGGGCGATGACGGAATCACTACGGAGCTTCTGAAGGCGGGCGGTAAGCCGGTCCTCGTGGCCCTTCAGAAGCTATTCGACTCTGTCATCCTCGGGGGCATTGTTCCAGAGGCGTGGACCAGGAGCGTGGTGGTATTGTTCTTCAAGAAAGGCGATAAAACCCGCCTGAAGAACTATCGACCTATCTCGCTCTTGAGCCACGTCTATAAGTTGTTTTCGAGAGTCATTACAAATCGACTTTCGCGCAGGTTCGACGACTTCCAGCCTCCCGAACAAGCCGGTTTCCGAAAGGGCTTTAGTACCATGGACCACATACATACGCTGCGTCAGATCATACAGAAGACCGAGGAGTATAATCGGCCTCTGTGTCTAGCGTATGTGGACTATGAGAAGGCCTTCGATTCGGTCGAGACTTGGGCGGTGCTGCAGTCCCTCCAGCGGTGCCAAATTGACTATCGATATATCGAAGTGTTGAAGTGTTTGTATAGAAACGCCACTATGTCAGTCCGAATCCAGGACAGAAGTACGAGGCCGATTCCATTGCAGAAGGGTGTCAGACAGGGTGACGTAATTTCCCCGAAACTGTTCACCGCTGCATTGGAAGACGTCTTCAAGCTTTTGGATTGGACCGAACTCGGCATCAACATCAACGGCGAATACATCACTCACCTTCGATTTGCAGACGATATCGTGGTTATGGCAGAATCCCTGGAGGACCTTGGCACAATGCTCAATGACCTCAGCAGAGTTTCCCAACGGGTTGGTTTAAGGATGAACATGGATAAAACCAAGGTCATGTTCAATGTCCATGTCACTCCAGCACCAGTATCTGTTGGGAACGATTCTCGAAGTTGTCGATCATTACGTCTACCTAGGACAAACAGTCCAGTTGGGCAAATCCAACTTCGAGAAATAGGTCAACCGACGAATCCAACTCGGATGGGCAGCGTTCGGGAAGCTTAGGCATATCCTCACGGCCAAAATTCCCCAGTGCCTGAAAAGAAAGGTCTATGACCAGTGTGTGTTACCAGTGATGACTTATGGGACTGAGACGTGGTCTCTGAATGTCGGCCTCATGACAAAACTCAAAGTCGCGCAGCGTGCTATGGAGAGGGCTATGCTCGGTGTTTCCCTACGTGATAAGATCCGGAATACGGAGATCCGTGGAAGGACCGGTGTGTACGACATAGCCCGAAGAGTTAGCACGCTGAAGTGGCAATGGGCAGGCCACATCGCTCGAGGACCTGACAACCGTTGGGTAAGAAAGGTCCTCGAGTGGCGACCACGTACCGGACGACGCAGCGTGGGGCGGCCCCCAACACGGTGGACTGACGACATCGTCAAATGTGCTGGGAGCCGCTGGATGCGGATAGCGCAGGACCGCGCATTGTGGCGTTCTATGGGGGAGGCCTATGTCCTGCAGTGGACGGAAAAAGGCTGATGGATGGATGGATGGATGGACCCTAAGAATGTCGGGGAAATCCACTCAGTTTCAATTTAAAATACGGACGCTCATTAGCAAGAAAAGGCGTAGAAATCAGAAAATTTGTCTATTTTAGCCAAACAACCAGTATTTATATAGTACTAGCTGTCCCAGCGAACTTTGTACCGCCATAAAAAAAATAGGGGTTGGTGGTAGAAGGGTGACAATTTAGGGTTGTATGTATTTTTGTATGATGTATCATAAAAATAAAACAAAAAATTTTGTCTAAAAAAAAATTTAAGGGTGGACCACCCTACCATTTAGGGGGATGAAAAACAGATTTTGTCCTATTCTCGGACCTACTGAATATGCATATAAAATTTCACGAAAATCAATCAAGCCGTTTCGGAGCAGTTCAATTACGCACACCGTGACACGAGAATTTTATTGTTATATTAGATACTAGAAAACCACGTTTTGTAAAAAAACCTTTAAGCGGCAATAAACACTTGAACGAATTCAACTGATGTCTATTAAACCTACCCACCTACAATTAGGGAATGGAGATGAGCGAGTCCGAGACGTGTTCATGCTATTAACTTTACTAAGCTTTTGTAGAATGAGCAGACACATTGAGCACATATCCATCATTGCCACTGACCGGTAGCCAGAAGCCATTCAATATACCCATCAATTTGACATTTGGAAGACTTCCATTTAGTTTTAAATAGGTAAACTAAAAGAAATCGTAATAAAGAGTTGAAATTAGCCCTTCCCCCCACTCCTGTTTGACATTTTAATTTCAATTCATGTTTCACGAAACATCCATACTTGGCAAGGGTGCTTGGAGGCAAGGAAAAACAGTTCTCTGGAATACAATGCAATGGCTTTAGGATGAAATAGTGTACTACTAGGCAAACGGCTAGAGACCATTACGAATGTGTAGATGTTGCCAACCTTCCTGGCTGATAACTCTGTTATAGAAAAACCCGTGAAGAAATAAAGACAAGACTTTAGGATGCCAGAGAAAATAGCAACCATGAAATAGAAATTCACTTATGAATTGAAAGTAGGTATATGAGAAATAGGACAGACGTGGTGCAGAACAACCAACTGGAGACCATTACGAATGTGTAGTAGACGTTGCCAACCTTCCTGGCTGATAACTCTATTATAGAAAATCCGTGAAGAAATAAAGACAGGACCTTCGGATGCCGGAGAAAATAGCAACCATGAAATAGAAATTCACTTATGAATTAAAAATAGGTATATGAGAAATAGGACAGACGTGGTGCAGAAACAGTGCCAATAACACTGGAATTATAAGTTTTTCTAATTACCGGGCTATTAGTATAGTTCCTTGCTGGATGAGCACCTTGTACTAAATAAAAAAGAATGCAAAAAAATACACCGAATTAAAACCCATTACACTTATAAAATATATTTAATAAGTGTAATAGTATTATAACGAGCAACATAACGTTAAATATTAAAACCAATTACTTTTAAGCTAAAAAATTAAGAACGGAACTGAAACAAAGCTCATTCCCTCTTATTTACACGTTTATAGGAGTGAAAGGAGTGAACAGTTTACTTACATTTTCATGGATTCCCTCTTGCTAGGTGATATATTCAATACACCATTGTTGGCTGAATCAATTATGTAAATTAAGACCGCAGCGATAAGAGAAACTGAAAAGGACAATTTATTTAATTTCACTTTGTAATAATATATAGATTAAATGTAACATACAATAACTTAATAAAATTAAGTTATTGTACGTAACATTTAATCAATAATTGACAATTGACTTTCAATTACGATATGTCATTACATCCTACTTCTCACTTCTTACTACAGTATAATGCCGATTATCCGAACGCCGATTATCCGAATCAGTCTATCAAGCGTAGGGCTACCATCTCTAAAATGTGGCAACCAGGATCGGAGGCGTGATAACCCCGGATTTTGGAACCCAGAACCCGGACAGACCAATAAAAAAACAGTTAAAAATGTCACAAATCAACTTTTTTCATGCTAGCGGTCTACCTCATAGTAAGTGGTCAATGCTGCCCATGGACACTTGCAGCACCAAGGGCCACTCATGCGTTGCCGGCTCTGAACGAAAAGGTTCATCCGTCTTTCTAAGATTACCATATCATAGCTATAAGAAAAAAATACTGAGGAAAGTTCGTTCTAGATCTTGCTGGTACACAAAATAAAGGAACACATGGTGCTCGAACGCCAGGCGTCCAGATGATGGGCGGGAAACTTCTCTGCGGTGTGTGGTGCTGTGAAGAAAGTTGCCCACTGGCATCCGGTTGAATAATTCCTCGGAACACTCTCCATTGATTGTATAGACGGTACAACACGTGGAAGGAGTTGCGTCCTTTTACGTGTTGTACCGTCTGCACATGCTAAAGGGTTGCAACGCGTGAGTGAGCTCAAGAGCATTGATATGTCAAACTGCCCACTTTTGTATCCGGCCAAGAGCAAGGAGCTGGTAGGTATTGGGGTGCTCCAGCCCAGAGGACCAGTGCTTTGTAAAGTAACACCCGATATTTAGGCTTGAGGTCTATTGAACACACAAGCTTTTTCACACACACTTGTGTCTTTGCTGGGTTAATCTAATCAAATTTTGTTGGCCCCAATTTGAGACTTGATCCAGTAACATCTCAATCTCGGACACAAGTCTGTCTTTACACCCTTCTTCTTCCATCCGAGGGATGTTTGACCGGCCAGTGTAAAAAGTTTGTTATTGCGGACAGTATGGGCGACAAAGCTGATCTTTGTTGGAAGTCAGCATTTATGGTTACAGTGTTAGAATAGATTTATTTATTTTTAAAGACATTTAAATTGACGGATTAATTGGCGACCCAAAACAGGAAATTTTTAAACCCGGACTACAAACGAAACCCTGTCCGGACGCTCCCCGGACGCCCCGTAAACTAGGACAAATCCGGGGAAACCCGGACGGATGGCAGCCCTAATCAAGCGTAATATAAAAAACTAAAACCAATTTATCTTTGTTATGTTTGTTGTAACAAGTTGGAACTCGCTGGAGTCCAGATATATTTCATCTGTCATGGTTGAAAGCTATAGGCAAGACACTACATACTACTTTTTTTTGCTACTATTGCATTTAGTACTTATTGTAGAACTGTGTTTGTTAAACATATACGCCCTTATTTATAAACAAGGAATAAGCTTAGACTATATAGTTACGATGCGTTTTGTTCATGTCACTCAAATGCCATTTGTCATTCAACGAACAGAGACAAAACATGGATTACCTAACTAATTCAAGCTTATTCTGCATTTATAAATAACGGGGCCTACATTTATTTTTTGTGTGACTGTTCGTTTTTCTTTAATAACAGTCTATGTCCGATTATCCGAATCGACCCCGGTACCAATTAATTCGGATAATCGGCGTTCTACTGTATATAATAAATGTGAAAGTTTGTATGTATCGGCTGAACGGATTTGAGTGAAATTTGGCACAAATACAGTTTAGTACTAAGATTGTGACGTAGGTACACTTTTTGTCCCGAAAAGATTGTAGGTTCGTGAGAGATTCTCTAAATACGAAATTGACGCGGACGGCCGTTAGTAGCGTAATCAAATCTAAAAGTGACGAAATTCGGTAGTCTAGACAGGGCATTTTTTTGAGTGTGTATGCTGTTGGTCGCCCATGACCTTTACAACGTCACCGGGTTTAGGGACGGCGAGATCTTAACTTCCGGCGGGACCTCATGCCGAGAATTGGCGAGAGCCTCTAGAGGTATTCCAGGCGGATGGCATTTCCCCACGGGGGGAGTCTCCTCTCTGTCTGGAGCCTCTAGACCACTCGCACCTGAGGGGGCCGTCTTAACTAGAGGGCGTCTCTGAAACTCGGACCTCGGCTCTAGTTGGCCGTTGTCGTGGGGAGTCTAGACAGGGCAACTAAGAGGTACCAATGCCAGCATAGACATAGGAAACAGGCTGAGCGACACTCATATGAAATTGAAAACTCTCTAGAAAGAGTCAAAAACAACCGATACAGACAAACTATTCCTTCGTCTCTCACACTTATTTATTTTATTTATTAGAAACCAAACAGCGTTACATACAGTTTTGTTTTTTAACAAATTCTAACTAATTTTTTTAGTTCCTTTAGTACAGATTATAAGTTGGTAGTATTCAAATTGACATTACTTAAGGCCAATTTACAGTTTAACTGCCAGTCGCTTATGGAATGCTTAGTTTATTCTCTGTATCTATGGGGGGTCTCCCGCTTATGAGGCGCAAGCCGTTACTATAGCAACCAGTGTTATCCCGATATAAAACTTCTGGATTTATGAATCGAAACGGAAAAAAAACATTGAATAAAATTCCTCCTGAAACATTGACAGAGTTGATTAGAGACCGAGAAATAATCCCCTACACTTTTTCGCTAGTATCCGTAAAATTTTATTAAATTTTCTTCGCGATCTCATCCCTATTTTTTAAAGTAACCACGGAAGACCAACGTCGGACAGTCTACTACATCCGACATGCTGAGTGGACTGCCTTTTTAGTAACGCAAATGTTGTAAACATATACACTACACGTACACAAACCTAAATTAATGTATTTATGTATAAGATATATTGTTTCATGTGTTAATTTGTGTCACTGAATAAAACATTTTCTTTCTTTCATTCATTTAGGTATAGAGCGCCGATACAAAGAAGTTCACTCACAGCTCACTATGGGCCGAAACACATAACGCAAACTGCTTATTTTTGCGGCGCCGCAACGCCAAAATCGGCAGTTGCGTTGCCGCGTTGCGGCGTCGCGAAACAGGGCATTATGGTAGGGTAACCATTTTCTCGTGATTTTTGAGTGTGGATAGACGTCTCTCTGCGATGGATCGTAATAAACTTATTGCTTATTTGTTATTAAGAAGACATTATTCTATCTTAAAAATACGGCAAAGAAGATACTGGATACATCCATTAAGTAAGGGTATGAATCCAAATGGCGAGTTCTTTTCTAAAAAATACGAAGCATTAAAGATAGACGAAAAAAAATTTGTTGCCTACTTTAGAATGAGTATATCATCATTTGAAGAGCTATTAAGCGAGTTATCAAAATATATACAGAAGAAAAAAAATAAAGGAAGGAAACCAGTTACTGCTTTGGAAATGCTGGGCTTAACTTTAAGGTAAAACAAATAGGTTTCTTATTTTTTTTTTATTGATGTTTATGGCACTCGGAATCAAATGTTTAGTTTTATTTGTACCCCTGGCTTTATACACCTGTGGTACTAGCGGGGTGTCGATAAAAATTTTGCATCACTAGTCAGTGTTGCCAACTCAGATTTTGAAAAAGGCGTAGGCCCGATGACAAAATTACGTAGAATTAGTAAAATTTGGATATGAAAAGTTCGTAGATCTACGTATTTTTTTCTGAGAGAAAAACGTTAAAACGAGTATTTTGTTACGATTATTTTAATAAAGGAGATAGAACATAGAATTCTTGGAGAAGACGCTACATTGTCAGTATTTACCATGCTGTGGTAGACATTTACTATCAGACACAGACGCTGCTAGGTGTCAATTTTGGCATAATTCTCTAAACTAATCACTAAATTTAACATCAGTCTCTCCTTTTCATTCTGTATAAAGAATGACAAGAATACACTTTTTCGTTATCAAATAGGGTAGTTGACACGTTTTGAAAAATATGTTTTAAATGGTTAATAATTGTTATATTAGACCGAAAAAAATGTATTGTTGTAATTATCATGATTGTATTATGCGAGAATGTAGAATCACAACGTTAAAGACTCCAGAAAAGTTGTGGTTTAAATTGCCCAGAGAAATAAACATATCTACACATGAACACATGTTTAAAACTTGCTAAATCCTGTAACTTTATCGACTGAAAGTTATTTCTTTTTGCAAAGATCACTTCGGTATACTTATACCAGTACTTACTGATTCAATAATATTTTAAGTTTAAAAATAAATTTTTTAAGTTTAATAATGTACCTACTAAGTAAGAGAGCTTTGTCGTTTCTGCTTTTACAAATTCGGTGTCCAGCATTAAGTTAGTCAACAAAACCAATAAATGGAAACTCTTCTACAAGATATAAGAGTCTTGAGATATATTTTAGTCCGACGAAAGAAACCATAGTAACACAACAATGACGATAAGTTGTTTACAAATTTTGTGACGTCATAATCATGGCGGACAGCGTTTTCAGTGTTTAAAAAGTATAGACTAAAAATATTTTTTTCAAATTAGATTACTACAGCCATTTTCTGATTTTATGAAGTGAAATCGATGTATTTAAGTTCCTCGTACCAAAATAAACAAAAACATTTGTTTAGTTTATAAGTAATGGAAAATATGCTTCCCTATTCTAGTGAGTTATGTTATTTTGCAAATTTGTACAAATAAAAAAAAATACGTAGATTTTGGGACTGAAGTTAGTAGGTTTGCAGAAAAGGCCTAAAATACGTAGATCTACGTAAAAAGACGTAGAGTTGGCAACACTGTCACTAGTGTTCATGGTTTGGGGGTACCTAGTGGTACAAAGCCAGGTTCAAATGAAACAAGACAGAATCAAATTAAGCTTTTTGCATTATACAATTTTCTTACTTTAAGAATACTTTAATAGGTCTTAAAAAATGTAATGATCAATTTAAGAAAAATCAAACTCCTCATCTTGTGAAACATAGGAAGTAACTGACGTTTCGTCCAGTAAAAATGGTGAATTTATTGGACGTTGGTTTGATGATGAGGTAGTCCTCTGTTCAGTAATCGAACTTCCAGGAGTAGAAGTGTGGTAGCCACTCTGAACCGTATTATCGTATCTCATAGTTGAATATCCTTGATTATAACCCTGATGCTGATATTCTTGATTATAGCCGTGATGTGTATTTTGATGAATTGAAGGTTGAAGAATGTCCGTTAATATTTGAAGCACCCGACTTTGAAATATCAATGTTTGATTCTCATTTAACGATTGTAGAGATGGTAAAATCCCCTTGAAAAAATGCAAATGTCTATTCTCCGGTGTTTTTAATATTGCCAATAAATCTTCTTCAATATCATCCTTATCATCTGCCTTTCGTTTTCGTGGTTGACTTTTATAACGAGGCAATGCCGTTATTTCATTCTCAATATTTCCTTCCGCTACACATAAACTGGAATCAGTTGCATTTTGTGAAACTTTTTTCAAAAACTGTAATTGTTTATTCAAGTGATATTCTTTAATTTTTGCAGCTCCAGCTCCTGATCGATTGGCATCTTTTAGTTTTTTTTGATATTTAGCAAAATTATCTTTTATGGCCTTCCACTTCTTGACTAAATTATTACCTGCAACAAATAACTTCACAAGTGAAAAATAGTAATAAAGACTAAAATTCCCTAGATTCCATTTATACTACATATAAAATTACATATAAAATTTGATATAACTTTCATAAGTACTTTCGGTCCATCCAATTTCATATAAATGGCTGGCCGCCGAAAAAGAACAATTTTCTGCTTTTTCTTGACTTAGGCAAGTTAAAAACTGATTGACTTTGCCTAGAACAACCATAATGTAAAATATTTCTTGAGTACTTCTTTGAAAAACTACCTGTCTATCTTTGAAAATCTATTCCTTTAGCAACACTATTACCTGCGCAGTTTGAGTTTGATTATACCTACATTTGTATTATTTTATTATTTGCCTACTAATTATTATTTCATTTTAGATTTCTAGCAACCGGCAGTGACTTTAAAACCATGCATACGAATTACTTCCGAGGAGCAAGTACAATAGCAAAAATTGTAAGGACAGTTTGTCGCGCCATATGGAAACATCTATCAAGTCAAAATATACCTCCTATAACAAAACAGGTTCTAGAAGATGTCGCTATTGAGTTTGACAAGAAAGCAAATTTTCCTAACTGCATAGGAGCTCTTGATGGTAAACATGTCCGTATTACATGTCCTGCGCACAGTGGATCACTGTTTTACAATTATAAGGGCTATAATTCAATAGTTTTATTAGCTCTTGTAGATTCTAGATATAGATTCATTTTTGTCGATATAGAAGCGTATGGCAAGGAAAGTGACTCCACCGTTTTCCAGAACTCTAAACTTTATGATTTGATTATGACACGCAAATTACCTATTCCTGTACCAAAGCCTTTACCAGGTTCTCAAAATGAAACTCCATTTGTTTTTGTAGGAGATGAAGCATTCTCAATTTCGAATAACGTCATGCGCCCTTACTCAGGGAAACATTTGTCGGTACAACAAAGAGTTTACAATTATCGACTGAGTCGTGCCCGAAGATATGTCGAGTGCGCTTTTGGCATCCTAGCCAATAAATGGCGCATATTTCATCGATCTATGAATGTGCAATACGAATTTGCGACAGACATTATCAAGGCATGTTGTGTAATGCACAACTTTGTTTTGAATCGAGATGGAGTACAAGCGACCGATGACATTATCTTTGATGATTCTGATCTGCAAATGTTGCATTTGCCCACAGCAAATGAAAATAATTTAAGCCCACATCTAATACGGAATGATTTTTGTAATTACTTTTCCAGTGATGTTGGCGCCCTAAGTTGGCAATTAAACAAAATATGAATGTTCGTATACCTACTCAGTTCAAAATACAAATAATACCTTAATACATTTGATTCAAACTATTTAACATGTTGTGAACTGCGAATAAACAATTTAAATGGCAATTTGGTTTTATTTATAGTATTTGTTTACCTTTTTGAATAAGAGCGCGAGAAAAAATATAATTTTAACTTAGAGAAAATCTTTTGCATAGGGCATTAAAATAAATGGTGTATTTCATATGATTAAAAAAAAAAAGATACATGCTACTTACATTAAACTACAATTTTTACAATTTAAACCGCGGATCAGATTTTTACGTTTTTACTACAGTAAAAATTGTAGTTTTATTGTGAATAGTGATCGCGTAAACCTAAGACAATACTATGTTACTACTTACCCAGTTTTGATTTTTCGGTTGAGTTTTTTTCCTTGTAATCAACATAAACGATCTCACAAATGCTTTTCCATGCTTCTTGCTTCATAAATTTGTCTTTATAGGTTTCGTCACTAGTATCCCACAAACAACGGTGTTCCTGAACCGAAGATATAAACAGATCGACGTCAACGTCAGACATTTTAATTTTAAAACTGCTTCTCGGTTGACACGTGTTGTTTGCAAGAGTGTTAGAAACAAACTGCATCCTTGTCAACAAGTATGACGTCATAACGCTGGAATTCGCGTCGTGCGTTGCGGCGCCGCACCGCTATAGCGCACTGCCGATTTCAGCGGCGCGGCGCCGCAACGCGCTTATGTGTTTCGGCCCTATTACATGCTTTTAAATTTCCCTAATGATATGGTATTAAAAGGGCAAATTTTATAGTAACTCACCAAATAGACATCCTAAAAAGAACATTTCCAACATTAAATATCCATATTTGTCAACAATTACTCCGGCTAGAATCAAAACAGTTGCCAAACCAAGGTTTTGAACAGCTTGACATCTGTAAAAAAAAATTCAATAATCAATTTATTTACACGGCGATCGGAATGTTAACTGTAAGTGAAAAGGTTCTGAAATGGCGATAGGTGTATTTTATTGGTATGTTTTTATTTCACTTATAAGTCGGATAGTTTATTGTATTAGAAAAAGACCTTTGACACGTTACGAAAACTTATGTTTATATGAGTCAAACTTATTGAAAAATTCATTCATACACCAAATCAAATATATCAAAGTTAAAATTGTTGACTTATAAAACCAAATATTTTTGAATTTGATCGCTTTCTAATGCCTCGATTGTCAAGATTCATGAAAAGCAATAGGGGAAAAGGAGAATGGGCAAGCAATGGGCTCGGAAGCGGCCACTTCAAAAACACTATTTTTAAGACTCATTATGATAAGACAAACAATACTTAGTATGGACAAAAAGTCCTATATTATCGGTAAAAAAAGTTATGACATCACATTTATGACCTAAACAATAGAAGTAATGAATCATTCAACAAGCGTTCCATTTTTGACTAAAACATTAACTGCTAGGTCTTTTCATTATTCCCTTTATGCAGACGCCGCCGCTACGTTTTAACCTCAACCCCCTTTCCCCTCGTGCGCCCGCGCACCCACAAGGGTGGAGGCGTTGTTGTATTCGGGTAGTTGTTTGTCGACTTGCTTCGCGATCAGCTGTGTTCTCTGCTTTTACGCTGTTTCTTTTACGACTTTAGATTACTTTTACCGGACTATCGATTTTCCTATGTGATTTGGATTGGCGTGTACTTGTCTAACGACTAGGCGTGAACTTGGACTCTGTGTTTTACTCCAGTGGAAGAGAAGAACTGAAATGGAGACTTGTATAACATGTCACGTTTCCAATCGAAACAGAAGGCGTTACCCTATCTCTCAAGATGTTCTTGCGGCCAATCCATTTTTGATCCATTACATTGGTGATCGTGTGGTTTCTAATCATGTATTTCGAAACGGAACTACTTACGTGTTTGCTGGCAAAGTGCTGAACGTGCCCAATCAAGAAACCAACTTCAAGAACCGATTCCTGACCAAATCCCCAGAGCCGATGATGCCAATCATATATCAATACCAAACTTTAAACGTGTTTAGCATACTACTTCTCATTGGTTATTCCCGGGATGTGGATCAGAAGTGCGAATAAGAATTCCTTAACGTATCAAAACAAAAGTATTTTGTGATCACAATATATATACATACCCATCAATGCCAGAATATGCCAAGAACATTTACGATCTAACCATTGGGAAGTACTGATTGATTCGCCTACTCTAATAAACTATTTCACCGTTGAACAAGTCGCAGATGTATTTGAGATGGTTAAACGTGCTTCCCAAGAAACAGCTTATTTCAATTTTGAAAACATTAATGACAATGATGCAGATGAGTTCTTCTATTGGACTGCAGTGACACCGGCGCAATTTCAACAAATATTAGAAGAAACACCATTATTAAGTCAAACGTGCAAAAGGCCAGAAGTTGTTCTCTGCATCTACCTCAGCAAACTGAGAACTGGGGAATCAAATCTAAGATTAATAATACTAATCTTTTTTGTATATCTCGACGCACTTTAGAACGCTTCCTTAAACAAGCAAGAGAATGTTTGTCCAATAATTTTGTAACGCGTCACCTGGGAATTGACCATGTCACGAGAGAAGAACTAGAAAGGAGAAACCGTTTAATACCCAACAACATTTTTGGGAATCCAGGATCTGCAGAAAATAGGAAATTAATTTTTATATTTGGCGGCACATATATTTACATCCAAAAAAGTTCTAATTTTGCATTCCAACGCCTTACATATAATTTACATAAATTCCAAAACCTGTTAAAACCATTTATCATCACATGTAGTGATGGATACATAATGGACGTAGTCGAACCTTTTGCTGCAATAACTTCAGATTCTACTGTTATGACCCAATTAATGTCAGAAGATTTGGCGTTTCATTGGTTTTTTAAATCTGGGGATGTATTTATCTTGGACAGGGGATTTCGGGATTCATTGCCAAATATAGAATCTTGTGGTTATAAGCTCACATGCCACCATCAAAACAAACGAATGAAACCCAGCTTTCAACTACCCAAGCAAACAAGTCGCGACTTGTTACAATTTGTTGATGGGTAGTTGAAGCTATCAATGGGCGTTTCAAACGAGACTTCAAGTTGTTGCGGCAAAAGTATTTTAATAGGGCCGTGCCACATATGTTTCAGGATTTTAAGATTGCAGCCGCCCTCCCAAATACTTTTCGAGAACCTTTTGTCAATGGGCCTTATGCAAATGAAATATTAAACCAAATACATTTGAGAATAAATGTAGAAAACTTATTGGCCGACTAATAATTTAAATAGGCACCGGGTGAGCTTTATTTCCATATCTGCTGATGATTTAGCCGTTGGTGATTTTCCTCAGTTAGAAGAGAGAGATTTGACACTCTTTGCATTAGGTAGCTATCAAATAAAGCTCGCTCGGTCCTACTGTAGTGAATATTTACGGGATGTTGTGTACTTGATTGAAGTTATGAGAGATGATTTTGTAGATATCCCACATATAAATGGGGATTGTTATCTTTTAAGAGGACGTATTCAATCAAGACACACCAGAGCACGAATATATTATGTATATATAATAGTTAATACAGAAGGAGTTGGAACAGAATGTATACCCCAATATTATTGTACATGCTTTACAGGAAGACGGACTTTGGGTTGCTGTGCTCACGTTATGTCAATTGTGTGGTACCTAGGGTAGGCACGGCACCAAGGAGCTCTAAATCTTACAGCACCATAGTTGGATGAAGTATTAATAAACGAAATAAATGAGTTTTAAAAATATTTAAGTTTTATTTAATATCCTGTCTCTCTCTCTCTACATAGAAACTGTGCTTACTGTTTTGATTCACTGTATTAGAGTTTGAAAACCACTTTAAAACATGATTGATGATGCTATTTTTGGGTAACCAATGTAAAGAATATAGGCCACAAAATTATATTAAGTACTAGCTTTACGCCCACGGACTTTGCCCGCATGATCGCATGTCATGGGGATTCCTGTAGGATAAAAAGTGGACTGTGTTACTCAGAACTAATGTAGCTTTTTAGGTGCAAGAATTTTTAAAATCGGCCCAATACTTTTCGAGTTTATCTGTTACAAACAAAAAAACTAATCTTTCCTCTTTGTAATATTAGTGTACATACACTATTTAGTTTATATCGAAAACTATACGAGATAGGTGTCCGAGTCCATAACAACTTTTAATCGTAATTATGTTTTCTATCAATTTTAATCACTTTTTGAAGTGGCCGCACCTTAGCCCATTTTGCCCATTCTCCTTTAATAAAAGATTAATAATAAGTATCTATAAAGTGAATAATATGTTTAAAAAACACCACTGACAGAAAACGATGGTATGGTAACAACTTACATGCCGTATGCAGTACCAAGTTGATTTTCTTGCACAATCAAAGCCACTAATGGCCATAGTCCACTTGCTAATAATGAATACGAAATCCCCAATGATACCTGAAAAATAAACAGTGAAAGAATATCAAGTAGTTTATTTCAAAGACAGGCCTTTATCTACTAAGGATTTTTCCAGTTGTTAAAGAAATGTGCTCTTATGTTTGATTACTATGATAAGTATTTAAACTATTGGCTAGTATTTAACTGCAAGTCAAAAAATTGACATTTTGTATAAAAAATAATTCTCAATCCCAAGCAAAAATACTTATTGCACAGCAAAATAGTCACCTCAAAATATTGTTATATTTGTAACAATTTAAGTTCGTGATGCATCGCTTTGTATTTAAAAATAAAGCTTTTTTAAGAATGCATAGCTAATAATAACAGCCTCACAACAAATATATTACATCATTTTTTTTAAACAGAGCTGCCATATTTTTATCTCATACAGCAATTTACCTAAGTGAAACACCATTTTAATTGACATAAGAATCTAATTATTGAAGTAAAACTTCTTTAGGCACGCTTGACTTGGGGGGTAAACTGGCGAATGTGTTACGATTAGTGTCATTGGTGACTCATCGGTAAACAATGAATGCTTGGTGGGTGACAACAGACCCAGCGCGGATTGGCGGGTGATAATGGTCCCAGCGCGGATTGGTGGGTGATAACGGACTCAACGCGGATTGATGGGTGATAATGAACCCAATTTTATTTTTTCTACATGAGTGAAGTTGGTCAATTTACACGCCGTGCAGAAATAGGCAACTTAGGTCACGGAAAAGCGTGCGTAAAGTGCGGGTTTAGGTCACACTGTGCTATAAAAGTATTTAATTGCTGTAAATAACTTGATGGGTAATAAGTTTTTTGCTGTGCATTTAAAAATATCCCTAAACTATTTACTTAAAGTATAATATAAGGTTTGGTTTTACAAGTAACATCTTTAACAATGGCATGCAAAATTAAACCTTATTTTAATAGACTAAGCTGTTTTTAATAATAATTACCAATTGAATATAATTTTATTAATTATACTACTTACTACTACTATAGCTTTTATTATGGAACCACAATAGAACGAGAATTTTCATAATTACCACTCCAATATAAGGATTGAAGAATGTAAACGCCAGCATAAAATGAGCACCTATTGTACTTATTATGCTGATGATAACCCACATAACATTTCTTCCAGTTTTGTCAATGAGAATACCAAAGAATGGACTTAACGCTGCAGAAAGCAAGTACACCATCGAGTTCACATTATTAGCGTCTTGAGGTGTGAAGTCAAATTTACGCTCGAAGAATAACCTGTAATAAATTCATCCAATCAAAATAGGTAACTACAGTATTGTAACTTTGTAAGAACAATTTATGTTTATATATGCATAATATGAGCACTTAGCTTGACTATTCCTGTTTGTTATTTGTAAACTTGACATCAGTCTGTCCTTTTCATTCCTTATAAAACATGATAAGGATACTGTTGTCAACTTTACAAATAGCAAATACGCACAGCCCGGAATTAGGTCAAGGAACAAAAAAAAATTTAGAGAGAAGTTGCAAGTGGGTGGCACTCGCGTAAGCTCAAGTTATCGTATCTATACAGTACTATTTGCAAGTTAACCAAAATCGTAATGCGAAATAGTAGCGAAAAAAAATGTATACATATGCCACCATATTCGGTAATACAATGTTAAAATAATAGCCATAATGTAGATTTACTTTATCCATCGAAGGCTTATCATTCCACCGATACGTAATATTGTAATATATTTTTCAATAAAGATAGTGACAATTTAGATGATAAGTAACAAATAAAATTGAATTTTATCGCTGATACATATAACCTATTTTTCAATTAGCATTCTAGAAGATTCCATTACTTCTTGTATTATGCACTACAGAAGTCAATTAGGGTTGCACATAGCTTTATTGAACGTGGTATCGATAAGTCGACATTGGTGTCGATTCTAGCGTGATTCTCTAAACTTAAAACTAAATTTAGCATCAGTCTCTCCTTTACATTCTGTATAGACAATGACAGGGATGCACTGTTGTCAACTTTAAGTTTAGCTTTAGAGAATCATGCCAGAATCGACATCAGTATGTACATATTAGTGTTGTTTACAAATACGTATTTGTAAACACAACACTAACACGTCGTCCCACGTGGTACGACGATGATATCACTTAAATATCTCCTCCCACGTGAAATGAGGCCTAATAGTTAATTGAATTATGTTTTCTATAAATAAAAAAATTCAAATGTAAGCTATACAAATACTCACTTTCCTAGAGCAATGAATGGAAATATTGCAAGATAATAGGCAACACAAATTACAGAAACAAGCCAAAATGTAGACTTGAAATGGACTATATCCTTTAGGTGGAATGGTTCCTCATTTGTTTGCTCCTCACTACGACCTAAAATCTTTTCTGCTCTGTAATCCATCCAGCCAAGCAAAAGACCACATATGAGTGATACCAAGCAGGTAAGGGCAGCTGGAATAAACAATTGTATAAGGAGATTAAAAAACCGTCTTCAAATTAAGAAAAAGATTGAATTATCACACCTATTTAGTAATACGTAAGAGGTTAACATACAACTTCTTCAAGTACATAAACAGCCTAGTCTCAATCGTAGGTTGGTAAAGCATCAAAATTTCAAAGCACATCGATAAAACAATACTTATAATTAATTTGCATGCTTACATTTTAATACTAATAAACACTTGAAATAATAATGAAAAATAACGTCAACTCCCATGATGGCATTCGGATTTAATTTTATCACTAAGACTGTTTACAAACATCCCTATCATTTGGTAGGCTTAAGGAAACCTATCAACATTGAGCTATGCTGCGCTGTGCTATATTTAGTCAACACGCTCCTTTTGTGCTGGCCTGAAGTAGGTACATTAGGCAGCGAACAATACGTGCTGCGCTGTGCTTTGTGTGGCTTTGTTTTGTTTCTATAATGCGATGAAATAATGCGCTCGTAATAGGTCGCGTTAGTTCCATATAATATAAGAAAGTAGTTCACTTTCGATTTAGTAAAAGAAGTTGTCAGAAATTAAACTGTACTCTTTAGAACCAAAGGAAATACGATCTATCATGATCACATCCTTGTAGCGACATTTTCACATTTTAACTGTGCTCTATTCAGTTACTCGCTCTTTTTAGATTACATATTAGGAAACAAACAATACTTGTTGCGCTGTCATACATTTTTGTTATAAACACTTGTTTTCCACGATCTGTGATATTTCGTATGAACGCGTACCAAAGTACCAAGCACGGTGGGAAGAGTGGCATCTGTAATAGTTAGTTTGGTGCGTTGTGGTCTGTAGTTGACGAGCACTTTGACGACCTCCGAGGCCGAGTGGTTTGTACGCCGGGTTTCATGGTGTCGCCGACTCGAGAGATCCCGAGTTCGAATCCCGGTAGGGGTAGATTTTTGTGTGATGAATACGAGCATTTGTACTCCAGTCATGGATGTTTAATATGTATTTCTATATAAATATACTTATTTATGTACTGTATATGACATATACAGTACATAAATAAGTATTGTATTCTATCCGTTACCCCAGTATCCCATAACACAAGCCTTACAGTGCTTACTTTGGGGCTAGGCTAATTGGTGCGTGTTAAAAAAAACAAAACAAAACAAAAAACTTTGTTGCGGCGACCTTTGTTCATATTTTAAGTAAAGTCTATTTCGAATGAACACGCACTATGTACGGTGGGAAGAGGGGCGCGTCTGTAATTTTGTACGGTGCGTTGTGGTCTATGCTGATCGTCTGTATTTGTCCGTCGGTAATACCGAGTACCGGAGCTGGCGCAGTCGAAGTAAGCTCCTTTACAAATTGGCCCATTGCTGACTCGTCAAGTGATCAGAGATGAGGCTAACACGATATAACTATAGCGAGATCCAGTCCATGTTTCGTAGACCTATATCAAAATAGTAGGGGTAGCTATAAGCGCTGCAACAATAAACTAATGCAGCGCGTACTATCATCTTCTGTACGTGTTCGAGAAAAAGTAATTTAGGTACCTACATGAAAATGTCCGAAAAGAAGATGGTGGATATTATTTAATCAATACCCTTTCAAAAATTATATCAATAATAAACGTCAGCGCTCTAGCATATTGAAATAAAGACTAAGTAGTAGGCGTGTAAATGAATTCCGCTATCAGTGGGTCACTATCCTTTTTATGAGCGTCCGAAAAACAGACGCCGTAATCGCGTCACGGCCGTCTCGATTGTCGTGCTTACTTCTAAAGGATAACTCATAGCGATGGACCTTTACGGTGGGCGTTCGTTTAGAGAACCCTTTTATCAAAGCAGGGTTCACGTTATGCTTTACGTTTCGCCGTGGGCAAGTGGCACTAGTTTGGTTTATCTCACTTCATTCACACGTCACACCACTCGAAAGACCAAATCACACAGCACAATATTTATTATAAAAAACACATAGCACAAGAGCTAAGCCCAGTGGTCGGTCATTGGATGGGTGACCAAAAACTTTTTATCTCGAGTTCCTCCGTGCTTCGGAAGGCACGTTAAGCCGCTGGTCCCGGCAGCATCTGCAGTCGTTAGCACCCGCCAATCTGCAGTGGGACCGTGTGGAGGATCATGGCCCAATCTCCCTATTCCATCTATAGGGAAGGCCTGTGCCCCTGTAGTAGGGACATCAATAGACTGTTGATGATGATCGATGATGGAAATGTAAACAGTGGGAATGTGCCATGTTATTCTTTTATTCCAAAGTCCTTATTAGAAGAGTTGAAATAATTTTCTACATTAGATATTTACCAAGAAATAATGTCACTCCTAAACGTTCATAGCCTCCATAGTAATTTGCAACCCATCTATAAATAGGTTCCATCACCCAGAAGTTAACTGTGCTTCCAAATCTTGAAAAGGACAACTGAAGACCAAAAACCATATTCAGTTCTTTCCCTTTAAACCAAAGCACCACATAACTATTTACAGCTACTTGTAAAGATTCTCCTCCTATTCTGTAAAATTGCATTAACATTGAAAATTTTCAATTTTAAGTTTATACACAAATTTAAAATTTATGCTAGTACTATACTTGTATATATTTACCCAAATACAAATCTGCCAAGTATCATCAACCAAAATGCATTGATATAGGCTCCTAGGGCAAATATCACTGCCCCAACAAATACTATAACCATATATATAATAGTACCCAATCTTACTCCAAAATATCTGAAAACAAATAAAATAACCTGATTTCAGCTTACCAAAGGAGGAAATTATATATTATATACTTAGGCTCAATATCTGTCTTCCTGTCACTGGGCTGTATCTATAATGTATTTTTTATTATAACAAAAATCAGTCCAGAACTCATGTTCTGCATATAATACAAATATTGCAATATGTTTAAGAAAGAAATCCCTAAACAAGTTTTGTTTATGTCCATTTCAATAATTATTGACATACATTAGGATGCAGATAAGAATAAGGTCAATCCAGTACAAAGTATCTGTGACTCATATGTTGTTGGCTGCATTATGATTAAATTATGTCCATAACAGAAGCATGCATTTATTCTTACTACTGTATGCAAGAGTATAAAATAGTTGCTGGACAATTGAAAATAGTACAAAACAATAGTCAAGTGGCAGTTGGATTGGCACTGCAATATACAGTCCTCTACATACTTTGTATGTATGTATATAATTTATTCGACCAGAAAACAAAGTGATCCAATGACTATTAAAAAATATATAAATATAAAATACAAACATTATACTTATTCGATAAAATATAATGAATACTTTACCTGTCAACTAAATAACCACCAATGAAACACAATATGACATTGGGCCATGAGTAAATAGAATATAATAATGCAAATTGTGATGTATTCAAATGAGCGTCATCTTTAAAATTATCGGCCAAAGCTCCAGGTGTGTCATAGCAAAAATATGATCCTAAAAACAAAAAACAATAATTCTCTTAGTTCTAATACAACAGTGCTATAACTAAAGTTTACTTGTGACTCCTAGAAAATCTTTATTAAGTTATTGGCAAATCCTAGAGAAACTTTATTAAAAACTTGCAGCGGCCTGCAACTTGGTTCACATTAACTTTAATTTTTTGAGAATCCTGCAGGAACCTAACTTTTTTCATGATAAAAAGTAACCTATGTCTCAATCCAGGTCATAAACTAAATGCGTACCAAATTTCATCCAAATCCGTTCAGTTGTTTTTGGGTGTTTGAGTTACGTTGTGTGTGGATTAATTTTAGATAATCAATATGAATAAATGCAAATGTTGGCCCTTTTAATGTTAAGAATCACAAAATAGCCATGAATCATATTTTAAGTATATCCTCAAAAACAAAGATTAGCTACAAGAATCATATTCATGTTCAACAATTGCAGCCTATCCTTCCTATTACAGGTAGTGCTATCATGCTTATAACAAATTCAGTTATGTGTTAAATTTGTTTTAAAAGTAGTAAAAATAAGAAAGAAATTGAGTTTATTAATAGGAAACCTTTATCATACCAAAACAAAGGAAGCACATCAAAAGGAGTGCCATAAATCTATGCACTTTATTAGCAGGGTGGCACCATGAGGTGGTTGATAACATATTGGATCCATTGATTTCACTTGATTCCGGATTGTCCATGCTAAAACAAGAGATAAAGCATTTAATATCATCAATATAACTACCCAAAGTGAAGCATTATAATATAAATATTTATATCGTTATCACAAAAGGCAATTCTATGAATTTGTTTATTTTTTAAACTAAATACTTACTGCTACTTAATTTTTAAACAGTGTACAAAAGACAAATATTACTTACGTTCTTCGTGTTTCTACAAAATAAATAATTGCTATCAATAAATACGCCCACAAATGAAACCATTAATTGCAATAAAAGCTGTGATAAAACTAATGTGTACAACAACTATAAGAAATATTTTACGTACTTGAATTATTCTAGCGCGGTTTTATTTGTTTTGAATGTGTTCAAATTTATTTATTTGTCGTCACAGTATTATTTAAACCATGCTTTGCTTTGTTTGACACACAGAAAAATAATCAAAAAAACTACAACAATAGAATAGCCTGAGTGAGCAATAAATCCATTGGGCATTGGGTTGGGGTCTGATCTCTAAACTTAAAACATTTGACAATGTATGTCTTTGTCATACTTTATTTATTAAATAAGGAGGGACTGCCTGCTGTCAATGTAGTAATGTCAAAGTAGTATGCCAGAATAAAGCCCATTGACAAATCAATTAACCAAAACAGGTAAATGGTGTATTCCGTAATATATACCAGTATACTGGCCAGTGCTAATGACGTCATGAATCGATGCTATACTAGTGAATTGTTCCGAAATATAAATATTAAAAAGAGTGCGAATATAGAAGATTTTTCATTCACCTCATCAATTAAAAGGAATTCTTTTTGTTCGGATGCCATTATTATTCTTTAAATAAAATAGGAAATAAAATTCGAATGCATCTCACGTACGCTCGCTCATACGTCATATTCGTTTTCCCGGTAAAAATATGATAGCATACCAGTACAAGATTGCGTCGGATTCGTGACGTTATTACCACTGGCCAGTATACTGATGTATATTTCGGAATATCCCCCATAGTCGCGGCACGATGTGATGGCCGTTTTCACACATTGCAATAGTGGTTGCTTTCCAACTACAGAGCATAATGCGACTCAGTGCCGCACATAATTGGAACGTGAATTAGTTTTCAAATGCACCAGCAGAGTGCGCTAAGTTCAGTGTTGAAAAAAAAAGTCAATGTTTGTACCTTCATCCATACTTATATTAATTTTTTAACAGTTTGAATGAACTTTGATTATTTAAAAAAAACTATTTAATGAAATGAAAGCTTTAATAATTTTTCAACAATAAATAATATTACTAACGATAACATATAAATAAAACATTTCGATCAATGCCAACTTAAAGAAAAAACACTTGTTAATTTTCTGTCTCTAAGTTGGTACGATTGCTCGCATCACACGAAAGCATCACTTTTGAGAGTGCTCAATTATGCGAAGCGTTGCTGTAGTTGGAGCACTCAACGTTAAGCATTATGCCTCATAATGCGCTATAATGCTGTAATTGGAAAGCAACCAGTGACGCGAAAAATCAACTTAACGAAAATATCACAACTATAATATATATAATAATAGGTATTATAAATTTTGAAATTTTTTACTAATATTGCAAAAAGTTGCAGATTATTAAGATTGAATAAGACGAAAACATAAATTTTTACTCACGCTCAGCGATTCTTTATGTAAAGATAATATTAGTTACATGTTTTTACATTTTGAATTTCGAACAACACAAATGGCGAGTTATGTGGCGAATAAGTAGACTTTAATTGGGTCAGGCCGCCATTTTTTGCTGATATGGCGCAGAAGTATTGTGTTGGTGGCGTAGAAACTTCTACGCGTCGGTGACGTTGAGTAGCGTATAATAGTGACGAATAAATGTTAAGGTTGGCATACACATGCCAAAATATTAAGATTAAATTATGTTGTATAACGTAATTGCACCAATTATGGACACTTTAAGGATGAAAAGGTGGGTTTTTGCAGGATTATTCCTAATATATCAGGATTGTTTAAACATCAATGTTGACCTTAATGTCCGTCTTTTTTCCTTTATGCTTATGCCGAAAAAGTTAGAAATAACCGCATAAAAATGAGAGATATCATTAAAATATAAACACGGTTTTTTAAGGTAGTAATGGACATCCAGTGATGAACATGCACCAAATATGGACATCTAATAATGAACACAATTTAATAATGGACCCCACTAATAGACCACCTCGTTGAATTTAGAATAAGAAGTAGTTCCCTATATCTAAGTAAATAAAAACATCAACAATTTTATAATCAACTAGACATTTATTATATTTTTATTTTTTAAAGCATTTATTTGCTAGATTATAAATCTAAAGAAAATTTTTACTAAAAAAAATTCCACGCGGTCCAGGCAGCAGATGGGACTCGAAACTGCACCCTCCGCTATCCGGGCAGATGCACTGACCATTATGTTACCGTGATCTATGCCTTGCAGCCTAAGAAATACAAGCTGAAATTACACGAATGGGTTTAGTTAGTATACATACATACACACTCTCGAAAAACATTACCCGGTACTTAATTCCATTATATGTAATTGAATTTCGGGGTAATTTGTAGGGGAGGGGGAGGGGGGGCTCCTCCCGACCCCCCCGCCATAAAAGATTTTTGGCGGAAATGCAGTTTTTTTTTACCTTACCTAAAAATTCATTAAATCTGTTAAATGTAGTGGAATTTCAGGGGGATAGGTATTAGGGAAGACCCCTCAGAGGGAAGGGTAACCCCCCACCCCCCGGCGTTTTTTTTACAGAAATGATATTTATAAAAAATTAGAGGGGTTTTAAAGGTAAAATTGTACTTCCAGGGCCTAGAGGTGATATTTGATTTTTTTGTAGAAAAAGTCTCTATTAACGAATTTTTCTTTCTGGCGCTTCGCCGGCCGCTGCCGCAGCACGCTCGCTTCGCTCGCTCGGCTCGCGCGTTAAGGTCACAACACTAACCTAACCTAGTGTGAAGTATCACCACACAAGCGGCTCATTAAGAGTCCAAAACTCGCACTACACTCGACTCTTCAGGCGAAGGGACAGCAGAACTCGAGGCCGAAGGCTTTGAGGATGCCATGGTAGTCAGAAGATGTTAATATCAACAGGAATACGAAAAAGCTCTCAACTGCGATGAACACAAACACTGACTGACAGATCTCATTAATAGCGGTGGGCATTTAAACGAAAAGCGCTTAAATAAGCGCGCTTAAAATATTAAGCTTGTAAGCACGCTTTTAAGTATAAGCTTTATAAGCTTATCACTTAAAAAGTGTGAGTAAGCTTTTCACTTAAAAAAGTGCAAGTATATTTTTTACTTAAAAAGTGCAAATCCCGCCATCTATGTCTTTGCCAGGAAACTACATACTTCGATCCTTCTAGTCCACTACAGTATCGTAAAATGGGTACGCGGAATTCCTTGGTACTAAATATTTCACAATATCACAGACATAGAACGCGCGACTACAGCGCCGCGTCGGCGTGCCATCTTTCGTGAGCCGGTTAATACAGAATGCGAATTATTATAATGCGACGTAAAAAAATGCACTTTTTTAAAATTTGGTCGGATAACCAACGCTTTTTTCGTTAAAAGCGTTTAATTAAACGAAGTCGAAAAGCAGTACGCTTGTCACTGTGACGGGGTAAGAGCGCGTGGGTGTTGTACGGTGTGTTTGCATGCTTGCTTGACGTGTTAATGCGTTTCGTGTATTGGTTTAATGTGCATATAAAATAGTTAAAAGTATGTATATAAAATCAATGAACTTTTAAGTACGCCTGGATCACGAGTATATTAACTCCAGACAGTCCTAAGCTTGTAAACTAAGAAGGAAAGTTCATTGACTATTATAAAAATGTTTATTATAAAATCTAAATTCAATTGAAAATCTTTCGTTTTTAATGCCAATCAATTCATTAGGTTTAATAAAAATTTCATTAATAAGAAGAAAAAACGCAATAAAACACTTAAACACATTTAAAACGACAATAAACTTTTCACGCTTTTTTAAACGATATACCTAAACGAAAACACAACACAACGTCGCGCTTTTTACGCATGCTTTTAAACGTTTAAGCCAATAAGCGTTTAAACGAAACGACAATAAACTTTCACGCTTTTTTAAACGATATACCTAAACGAAAACACAACACAACGTCGCGCTTTTTACGCATGCTTTTAAACGTTTAAGCCAATAAGCGTTTAAACGAAAAAGCTTTTTTTCAAGCGCGCTTATTTTAAAAAGTACAACGTTTAAACGCTTTTAAGAAATAAGCCGTTTTTTCCATCTCTACTCATTAATGGCGGTAAATTGTCACATTTTGACAATAGTACCAACATAATAAACTTATATTTACCATAGACAACGAGAAACATGTTATTTTTGCATAAAAAAATGGCAGCACTGATCAAAATTGCTGTCAAAATTGACTCATAACCTACAAAAAAATTCATTTTCAATAAATTTTTTCTCGAGTTCTATTCGTTTCCGCCTAAAAAGATTTCGTGTACGTGTTTTTAATAGTTAATACCTTGCGTGACAAAAATTTCAGCTTGCAACTCAATTACATATAATGGAAAGGTGAGCCCATTACCCTCCTTTCTTCGGCAGTCAGGTAAAAAGTTAGTATAATAAAAACGAGTGGATACCTACCTTTATTTGGTGGCGTAGAGGAGGTGACGAATATATACGCTACCGTTGGCGTTGAAGTACCAAAATGGTGGCGTATTTCTACTTCTACGCTATCGTCGCGTTGAGAAAACCACTTATATCTCTGTAAATAAAGTATGATTTGAGTTGCATTATAGCTCCAAACATGGCTTTCTCTTCTACTAACATGATGCACTATTTGTTTTTCGTGTAACAATCAAACTTACTTTTTATGCACAAAAATCTAACCTTGAAAAAATTGTGTACACAAGGCTATAGAGTATTTCCAAAAAAGTTAGGGTTCCGTAAGAATACTTCGATAATGTGAAAAAATACCCAAAAATAACCTTTTATCGCGTACGCTGGGGAAGTCATTGAGAATAGAGCAAAGTGATATACTGAAGTTTTATAGAAGACTTCAATATCTACAAAAAAGTTCGAGATACTAAGTCTAACTATTACAGTTATGTCAGAACTAGAGGTCCCATGCGATTTCACCCGGTTTAATTTTAGGAAAGAGGTTATAGTGAGTCAAACTTAAAATATGGGCATATTCTTATACAAGATTTTTCCGTGCTTCGGAAGGCATGTTAAGCCGTTGGTTCCGGTTGTGTCTGCAGTCTGTAGCACCTACCAATTCGCATTGGGCCCGCGTGGTGGGTCATGGCCCAATATCACTTTTCCATCAATAGGGA